AATTTTGCCCGTTCTCTGGCCTCCCTATTGGAGATTCCTGAGATTGAGGAGTCTTGAACTCATTGTTTCCCAATGCTAACATCCCTGGGGACATAAATAAGGCACTTAGGGCGGAGGATAAAAAGATTGACTCCGCATTGCGTAGTTCCCATCTGGCATCAGCCTGGGCAACAAAGGCGGCAACGTCCATGGCCTTCTTCGCCAGGGCTTCAGCCCTTGGGTTACGTGAGCTCCAGGACAGGATCCCTCTGGACCAGCTCAGAGTTCACCAAAATCTGGGTAAATTAGTGGCTACATCCCAGTACCTAGCCGACGCTTCTCTGCACATGGCTAGATACACTGCCAGACCATCGCTGCAGACATCTCAGTATGAAGGCTCCTTTGGCCCAGGAATTGGCTAGCAGACACCAAGACCAAGTGGCATCTGGCCTCTAAACCTTACACAAGTGGACATCTCTTTGGTAAGGCACTAGAACCATACTTAACTGAAGGTAAGGACAAATGTAAAACTCTGGTTAACTCATGTCACAGAGCAGTTACAGGAGGCTGCCTTTCGACCAGCTCCATCCTGGGACTGGGCCCAGGCATCCCTCTATTCCTTTCAGAGACAAGAACGACAGCAGGATCGTTCAGCATGCAGAAGCAGACCACAGATCCAGGCCAAGCAGCCCCTTCAAGGCCGAGGGGCTGTTCCTCTAAACGAGGCAAGTGATCTCACAGTCTCACTTCCCATAGGAAGCCAGCTGGCCCCTTATTCCAGCACTTGGGCAGTCACCACTACAGATGCCGGCTGGCCCCTTATTCCAGCACTTGGACAGCCATCACTACAGATGCATGGGTGTTAGACACTGTCACGCAAGGTTTGAGACTAGAATTTTGTTCTCAACCACCTGACAAATTCCGCTCTTGCCCTATCCCAATGAGCAGGTCCAGGGCTGACTTTATGTCAGAGGCCATAGCTCATTTATTACAAATATGAGCAATTGAACCAGTACACAAGACCAAGAAGGACGAAGGTTTTACTCAAACCTCTTCGTCATCCCTAAGACTTGGGGGGCTGGAGGGCAATCTTAGACTTGAAAGGTCTAAACCTTACTTGAGGTATAAGAAGTTTAAGATGCAACCACTTTAATCAATCCTGGCCAGCATCAGGCAAGGTGACTTTCTTACCTCAATAGACCTAACTGAGACATGTTTCCTAACCACTGCAAATTCCTCAGATTCAGCTATGCCCACTACCAGTACAGAGCCCTATCATTTGGCCTCTCATAGACACCGAGGGTATTTACAAGGTACTGGCAGTGCTCGCAGCCCACCTTAGACAAATTCCAATCAGAATTCAATGCTATTTAGATGACATACTAATTCAGTCATCATCATTCCGAAATGCTCAGTCAGACCTCGCCCTAGCCATCAAGGTCTTTCAGGAGCACGGGTTTTCTGTTAATTTCCAGAAAAGTCATACAACAACCCGGCTCCTCCATTTGGGCGCTGTTATAGACACGGACAATTGTATGGTCTACCTATTTCAGGACCGAAGGAACTCTATTCAGACTCTTGTACGTCGGATCCAAAGGGCCAGAGTAGTCACATTGGCCTCCCTATCACAGCTACTGGGGAAGCTACTGCGTGCAAATTGTGCCATGGGCATGCCTCCATGCCAGAGAATTACATGGCTTCTTCTTCCATTTCAGAGACTTGAACTCCCTTCAATGGTGGGACTCCCCGGCGCTGTCATGGGGAGCAGTATTAGAACCAGACAGGATTACCATTACCACAGATGCAAGCCTGTTTGGATGGGGGGCACACCTCCACACGCACTGGGCTCAAGGTTGGTGGTCCAAACAGGACCTAAAGAACAATATAAACTGGCTGGAACTCAGAGCCATACATATGGCCCTAAAGGGATTCACCGATATAGTACAGGGCCAACATGTCCTGATTTTAAGCGACAACATTACAGCCAAGGCCCACGTCAACAGACAAGGGGGGACAAGGTCCAGGCCTCTCATGCAGGAGGCCAAATTGCTGGGTCCTGGGTGGAACTGAATCTTGCCTCCATCAGGGCGGAGCACATATCCGGAGTGACCAACCAGCAGGCGGACTCACTGAGCTGAGCAACCATGGACCATTCCGAATGGCAGCTGGATCCGAAGGTGTTCAGAGAGATCGTGGACAGGTTTGGTTCCCCAACCTTAGACTTTTTGCCTCCCCCACCAACTCACAACTTCCCAGATTCCTTTCCGGATTCCCACCTCCATCAGCGAAGGGAACAAATGCGCTCCGCAGTCCCTGGCCCAGGGAACTGCTCTATGCCTTCCCTCCTCTGCCGTTTCTTCCTACCACGATCAGGAAGATCCCTCGCGAACGAACAGAGGTCCTCCTGGTTGCACCACATTGGCCGAGACGCTCTTGGTCGCCGACCTGATGGAGCTCTCCACATCATCTCCATGGAGGATCCCAGCAAATCGCATCTCCCACATTCAGGGGGAACTACGCCATCCAGACCCTCAATGACTCCAGTTAACTGTCTGGCACTTGAGAGGCAGGCCTTAGGCTGAGACTCATATTTGTCAAGGGTCATAGCTATGATTCAGCAATCCAGGTGACCCTCGACGAATAGAATATACGATGCCACATGGAGAGACTCCTGTAATTGGTGTTCAGTTCGAAAAATTGACCTTTTGGCGGTTTCAATGCCAGTTATCTTGGAGTTCCTGAGGGATGGTCTAGACAAAGGGCTTTCCACAAGCACCATCCGCAGGCAGGTAGCAGCACTTGCCACAGTTATTTCCTGTGGCAATGAATCCTTAACACATTACCCTATGATACGCTCCTTCCTAAAAGGAGCTAACAACGTCAGACCATCAACTGTACATAGATACCCCTTGTGGGATCTTCTTCAGGTTTATAGGCTCTTGTTTTGCACCCTTTGAACTATTGACACTGGTTTGTTTAAACAGTTATCGATGAAGGTGGAATTTCTTGTTGCTGTAACTTCAGCGAGAAGGATATCTGAACTGGCTACTCTTCAGTGAGGAAGGACATGTGTACGTTCCATAAGGACAGGGTAACCCTTAGGCTAGGCCCTTCCTTCGTGCCTAAGGTCAAGTCCTTGTATTCTAGATCTCAGGAAATAGTTTTGCCGGACTTCTGTCCTAACCCATCTAATGACATAGAGGTTCAGTGGAACAAATCGGATGTGCGCAGGGCTTATATTGTTATATACAGAGAACCTCATCTTTCCACAGAACAGAGGCTCTGTTTGTGTCCTATCACCCTTCATCACTAGGTCAGAAGGTTTCTTCAACCACAATACGCAGGTGGATTAGAGTTTGTATTTCTCTGGCATACCAGTCTCAGTCACTGCGAGATCCCAGGCATATCACGGCCCATTCCACCGGGGCGCAGCTACTATAGCTGCCTGGTCTACTCAGGCCTCCGTAGAGGGAATTTGTAGAGCAGCAACATGGGCATCGCCCTCTTCCTTTGTCTGTCACTACAAGAGGGATATATATGCATCTTCTACGGCTTCATTTGGCCGCAAGGTCCTAGAACACGCATTAACATACCAAAGCCCTAGGGACACAGGGCTTTGGTATGTCCCATCCGTGGGTTCTCCATCCAATCATGCTGGAGAAAGGGGCGTTGTCTTACCTGAACGCCTTTTCTCAGCATGATGATGGAGAATCCACTCCCTCCCATTAGGTCAGTTGGCCTGGTTCCCATATTGTTCAGACGCGTCGGACTAAAGTCTGAGTATCGCCTTAGCCTAAAACTGGGGTGCAGTTGGCACAGAGGGGGCGGTACTAAATTTCAGACTTAGTCTAATTGGAGCAGATAGATTAAGACAACCCCATCTGTGGATTCTCCATCATCATGCTGAGAAAAGGCGTTCAGGTAAGACAACGCCCCTTTCTAGCCTGGGAGGCCTCCTCCAGGCCTCCGAGGCCTAGAATAGGCTTCCAGAAGCAGTGTGCATTCAGCCATTTCTCCAAACTTATCAAAATTTAGTTACCGGTTCTGCTGAACCAGTGCAAACTGGCTGAATCCTACCACTGCTTCTTCCTTGTTGCTTAACAAGAAGAAACCCCCAAAATGATGCAGATCTTCAAAAAGGAATAATAGGCTGTAGCTAAAGGGAGCCTCTTTTAGTTTAATAAAGATTAATAGTCCTTAAAACTAATTAAGAAATCAAAGGCACAACTTACTGTCTGTTTGAAAAATAAATTCCAAAACAGCTGCTTCTTCAACCATGAATTGATTTCAGCCCCATCCCTCCCCAGCTTTTGGCACACAAATTGCTTTGAAGCTCAGCTCCTGAAACTACTTGCAGACTTGTAGCTGTATTTCAGGATTTTGAGGGATAATTCTAGGACTTTCCCTAATCCAGGAGAGTCATATAAACTAAAAGAATGCTGGTTCCTTCTGCTGATATATTATATATGTTAATATTGTTATTAAAGCATTAGTGCCAATTATTATAAAATTTATTTCTGCAAACTTTGATGCCTCTGAACTTGCAAATGTTGTTAGTCCAAACTGGAATAGTACTAACGTCTATAAAGAGTCTATTAATAACCTCCTCATTTTACAAAATAACAAATAGGACAGAATACACTTATCTTCAATTCTTATTTTCAGTTAACCCTTACCCCTCCCTATGTATAATGAGAAATCTCATCTTTAAATTATGAGATTCTTGTATATTTTTGTACTCAAATTCCCATCCTATCTTGACAAAATAGGTGATAGGTATGAACAGAACTTTTTTTCTAAAAAAAAAAAAAGGTGCTGGAACTCACACATGCCATACAACCTGCCTTGCCTACTCTACAAGATTCCATGCAAAAAAGGTGGTGGAACTCCGTTCTGGGCATTCTATGAGAAAAAAAGCCCTGGGTATGAATATCAACATCAATAATGCCTTACATACTCTATATATTCTATATTAATAACAGTTTTGATATATTTTAAATATATCTTTTTTCTTTTTCCAGGTATGGATGCTTGCATGAAATGTTCAAAAAATCAATATCCCAACAATATGCAAAATCAATGTATTCCCAAAGTGTTGACCTATCTCTCTTATATCGAACCTTTGGGAATCCTCTTTATTACATTGGCTATTGTTTTCTCTTTGCTTACAGTCCTTGTTCTTGGAGTCTTTTGGATGCATCGAAAAACTCCAATTGTTAGAGCCAATAACCAAAGCCTCACTTGTATCCTCCTCCTTTCCCTTCTTCTCTGCTTCCTCTGCTCCTTCCTCTTCATGGGAAGACCTGAAAAGATGACTTGTCTTTTACGGCAAACAACTTTTGGCATTATCTTCTCAGTGGCCCTTTCGTCTGTATTGGCAAAAACCATGATTGTGGTTCTGGCATTTATGGCAACCAAACCAGGCTCTGGAATGAGGAAATGGGTAGGGAAAGGACTGGCCAATTCTATTGTCCTTTGGGGTTCTTTCATCCAGGTGGGGCTTTGCACTCTTTGGCTTAGCACCTCTCCCCCTTTCCCAGATACAGACCTGCACTCACTGAAGGGAGAAATCATAATGGAATGCAATGAAGCTTCGGTGATCATGTTTTACTGTGTCTTGGGTTATATGGGCTTTCTGGCTAGTTTGAGCTTTACCATTGCTTTCCAAGCCAGGAAACTGCCCAGCAGTTTCAATGAGGCCAAGTTCATCACTTTCAGTGTTGTGGAAAAAACCACGATACTTACATCAGAAGACAAGACCATGAAGGGTTGGAGAAAACAGGCTTTATTTGTGCACAATGGTTCAGAGCATTCACATGAGAAATTCTGAACCCTGAGTTACTCTGAGGGTGTCACTTTTATACAGCTTGCCGCCCACGCTTAACCTAATAGATGACTTCTTATCTACCTTTAACACACTAAAAGAGAGAAGTTCATATCTTGAGACAACACACATAGGAAAAAGGAGAAGTTCACACAAACGGTTGTCTTACCACACCTCTCTACATTCGTGCTATCTTACAACATCTGTGACTTTCAGTTGACACTGACACTTCTTGTAAAATGGTTTCTACACAGCATGAACACATCTCTACAATTATGACACACAGGTTATATGATTTAGGTTACATTTCACAGCCAAGCTTAATATTATCTATTAACTATTGTCAGCAACAAGCATTCCTATTAAGATATAGATATATTGAACTTTTTCCTGCCCACCTCATCAGCATGTTGGTCTTTTGTAGTGTTTGGCTTTCATTTGTTCCAACCTATCTGAGCACCAAAGGGAAATACATGGTAGCTGTGGAGATCTTCTCTATCTTATCCTCCAGTTCTGGTTTACTGGGGTGTATATTTTTTCCCAAATGCTATATCATTCTATTGAGGCCTGAGATGAACAAGAAGGAACATTTAATAAGGAAAGAAAAGTAACTATTTCTGTTTTTCATTGTAATGCATAATTATTTAGGATTTTTAGCTCATCCCATTTCATAAAGTGTTTTACAGCTGCTCTTATATTAAAATATTTTATTGTATTTTAGTCTTTCTTCAAGTAAGATAGATTTTTGGGAAATATATGCAGTATGATTCATGTTTTCTTCATAAAACATACTTTGTAGAATAACATATAGTCATTTGAAATGGACATTCTAAACATCAAAGGATGAAATCAGTCATTCAAAATAACTCAAATCATTATATAAATCCTTATGAATATCGATTACTTGTATCCATATAATCCTTTTAGATTTCACATGGATTTACTGTACTGTATATTAGAATTACCCAGTATCTGTAAATTTGTTAAGTAAGTAAGTAAGTAAATAAATAAATAAACTATTTTAGAGTATATTACGGTTTTTACTTTTCTGTGGTTTGTGTTGGGGGATTTATTATTTCTACTGTTGATGAAATACATTGCTCTGGCAAGGTTAATAATTCAGTTTTGGATTGATTAGGTAACTGATCCCTTTTTCCAGGGTAACTGGTTTAGCAATAATAAGTAACGATTATAATAAATATGTATATTCATGTAAAATGTATAAGTTATAATATAATATTTATACAATTGTAAATCATGTAACATGTCATGTAAGATGTATAACAGGATTCCCAGAGGTTCATTATCTGATGCAAAAAATAAATTTGAAGAGAAATTATGTTGTGCAGAAGTAGAAGTGTAAGAGCAGATATCATTAGAAACTCTAGTTCAGGTGTAGGCAACGTTGGCTCTTTTATGACTTGTGGACTTCAACTCCCAGAATTCCATATTGGCTCAGGAATTCTGGGAGTTGGTTCATGAGTCATATAAGAGCCAAGATTGCCTACCTCTGCTCTAGTTTAATCACTGACATATTTATAATTGGAGTTTTGGGGTATAGCATATTTGTTTCTTACTCATTTTTTTTTAAGTTGAAGATTAGAGCAAGTAGCTTCATACATGTCAATGAAGCTTTTGACTGCTACGTTGTCACTCTTTTGGGCTTTTTAGTCTAAAACTAGGAGCTACATTATGAAAAGTGCACTTGGGTGTACATTTGCATGCTTTTGACTGACTTTTATTAGTTGTAGAATTCAGATGTTCTTAGCAGAAAAGTTGGATATTCAGAGCATTATCTATGTGGGAACATAAGAATAGCTGTGATTTCTTGAGCCTAAAAAAGGCAATACATTAATCTCGATGTAGTGAAATTTATGATCTTCTTTATGCAATCCAAAAAGAGTTATTTGACTTTTATAGAGGCATTTGTAATCTTTAACTTTTTTTGGCCTACTGTTAATCCCCAGAGGAATACTTCTTACAAATGGCAATAGCATTTAGGCTTATATGCCACTTCCCCATGCTTTTCAGCCCCCTCTAAGCAGTTTACAGAGTCAACATATTGCCTCCAACAATCTGGGGTCCTCATTTTACTGACTTGGAAGAATGGAAGACTGAGTCAACCCTGAGCCAGTGAGAATCAAACTGCCAAACTGCCGTGCCAGAAAGTCAAGATATTGCAATTAATTATAATTGCCATATACCTAGATATTACAGCTAGAGTTACCCATTACTGTTCTGTGATATAAGAATCTTATTTCAGTCCCTAACCAACATAAAATGGTAAAAACCCACAGAAATGTAAAAATTACAAATATTTCAGCAGCAATAAACTTTATTATTACTAAAACAACAATGTGTCAGCCCTTTGATCAGATTAGAAAGCCAAAGTCATGTAGGCTAATAATACATTTATTATAAGGTTATGGTAGAACAATCCTGCAAGTGTTTTTTTGAATGTGCTTCCTTCTACTCTACATTTATCTTCATGAGAGTTAGGGATGGTCTGCAAAGGAATGCTTTCCCAGATTACAGTCCCAGAGTCAGGTTTTTTTTTAAATCTGACCATTGCCTTAGTAATGGTTCTTCTTCCTGTTCCTTAAGGTTATTCCTTCCTACATAATATGAATCTTTATAGTTCTTAAGTTCTGTGAATAGCATTATACTACTCTTAAGCCAAATGAAAAAAATATTTGCAAAATATAGCCAACATAATGCAATTAATAAAGTATGTCTAAAAGTATAGATGTATAGCTATAATTTACGGACTGTATAAATATATATTTAAATAAGTAGACAATGTTTATTTAACTTAGGATAAAAGCTTGTGTAACATTGTCTCACAATGCAAAATCTAATTATTTTATTTTTAGAAAAAAATATTTTGATTTTAATAAGATCCAGCCCCAAAAGAGATAATGCTGCATGTGTATCAGGAAGATAAAAATATTCCATCCATTTTTATATAGTGAGTCTTGGAGAAAGATGGGCTCAGCAGTCTCAACTTGCCCATTTCTACAAAAGCCTCAGTACTAGGGAAAGTTACTTGAAATAACTGAAATAATTTTCATCAAGGGAATGAACATCTTTGATCCCTGGGTCAAACCTACAAGCCCTACACACTTCTGTTTAGTGAAATTACCAGAAAATATCACATGGCTGACAAAAAGTAGATATAGAAGTACCAAGGAGAGAGTTCTGGGCAATACATACCAATTCTCAAAAATACGATTGTCGAGAAGCGCTCTTTAAATAAGATTGAATTTACAGAGCATGCTAAACCCTAATTTAGTTTCTTTGGTTTCACTTAACAGTTTTTGCAATTTGAAATTGGTAAACTATTATTATTTTTAAGATTTACACAACTACCCACATTACTGAAGCCTGGATTGCTTACCCATTTATAAGCTTACCCTTGGAAAATGTGACACCAGTGACCCTTGATATTGTTTCTATGTTTAATTTTAACAATTGGCTTATCTGAAGGTAATCCATTGAATATTGATGTTTAATGGTATTTTAGTTGAAAATCCAAGGGTCAGCTTATCCTGGGTTTATTTGTAAATACATATGGAATACATGGATGTTTTTAAAACATTGAAAGAAAAAAATTACAATATATACGTGTGAATAAGTCAAACCCATTTTCAGCTTATTTGTGAATATATGTAATTTAAAACAATTTAAAACTATAAACAACACAGTTCAAATTAAAAACAATTAAAACCAAGTATGTCCATTCCTTCCCTAACACATTAACCACATGGCTGAAATCAAAACCAGGTTTTAAGAGCTCTTTGGAACCCAGGAAGAGAACATAATCTGTATCTCTGGGTGGATACTATTGCAGAGATTGGGGTCCATACAGAATAGATACATTTCCTGGGCATTTCCTGTAAGCTAACAATATTCATTTGAAGCACACCATAAGTTGAACATACTTGGTGGGTGGAGAGAAAGACAGTAACCAGGTCATATGCCATGAAGGACATTAAAGTTAACAGCTACCTTGAATTGTACCTGGAAGCCAAGTAGAAGCTTGTGCAGCTCACGCAGGTGCATCAATATGTATCAATAATAATTTCAGACAAATATGCCAGTTTTTGGTATAGAACTGCCAAAATGCATTTTCTTTTATTTCAGGCCATAAGAGCTACAAGTAGATTTGAATACAGACTGTAGTACAAGCTTCACTTATGAAGGTGAAGAGGGTTTGTAGTTTAATGTTGACTAATTCCAGCCATTTGTGCACTAGAGCAGGGCTTTTCAACATTTTCACCCATTGTACCACTTTTCGGATAAGGCAATATCCGAATACCACCACTCGTCCAGCAAGGTATCAAAAACATGACCCCCCCCCAAAAAAGGGAAAAAATGAGAAAGTACAGATAGTCCTCAACTTACAACAATTCGCTGAGTGACTGTTTGAAGTTACAAGCGAATTATGACCATTTTTCACACTTATGACTGTTGCAGCATCCCCAGGGTCTTGTGATTTACATTCAGATGCTTGGCAACTGATTCATACTTATGAAATTCACAGTGTCCCAGGGTCATGTGATCAATGGCCAGCTGATCACTCAGGTTGCAGGGTGCCTGTGGGGAGGAATCCGTGGGTATTTAATGATGCCACTGGGGTGGGTGCCTGTCTTCCTTCCCTCCCTTCTCTCCCATTGTCCCTTCCTTCCTTCTTTCCTTCCTTTTCTTCACCTTTGTCCCTTCCTCCTTCTCTCTCCCATTGTCCCTTACTTCTTTCCTTCCTTTCCACCTCCCTTTGTCCCTTCCTCCTTCCCTCCCTCTTTCCCATTGTCCCTTCCTCCTTCCCTCTCTCTTTCTCATTGTCCCTTCCTCCTTTCTTTCCTTTCCTTCACCTCCCTCTTTGTCCCTTCCTCCTTCTCTCCCTCTCTCCCTGTCAAGGCCCCGCGGGCTTGACATGAATGGGCAAGGGGAGGGTTGAGGACCGTTCTTAAGTTATATTTGCACCCACCTGAAGGAAGAGAGCGACACTTTTCTCCCTTCTCCAAAGAAGGGAGACAAACCCACATTGCCACCAAGTCACCCTCCCTTTGGGCAAAGTAATCTCCAGTCCCCGCCTTTGAGACTGTTTCAGCCTGAAGCAGAGTCGGAGAGCTGCAACACTCTTGCAGTTTGGACCCTCTACTTATACGCTCCAGGAGCAGCTTGCCTTTCAAACCTCTGATAACTAACGGAAGGGGAAGCCTGCTGCAAAAGCACATCTCCCAAAAAGATGAGAGGGTGGGGATGGGAGAAAGGCGATCAGTCAGTCAAGAGCCCGGCTGTTTCAGACTTTTAGCCTGCGATAAGGCAACAGAGGGCCAAGCAAAGAAGGCGCTTCAAGAAAAGGAAAGAAAACCTGCTTTCCTTTCCAGCAAAAGTTACTTTTCCAAAACTGCCTTAAATGAAGAAGTGATTTCCGCCCCCTCTAATAATTGACTTTCTCCTGGCTTCTTCAGCCTTCCCTAGGAGGAAGAGATCAGCCCTGACCAGCTTTTGTTCCCCAAAGGCTAAAGTCGATCACTCGCTTGTCTGATGCAAGGGGCACATGGGGACCCCAAGACCTGCTCCAGGCCCCCACTAAGCCACGATTCACAGTTTGTAGAAAAGATGGGCGGAAGAAAGGCGATCAGTTAGCCAAGAGCTTGGACTGTTTCAGACTTTAAGCCTGTGATAAAGGCAATAGCGTGCGCTTCTCCCAGCCCACAAGGGGAAACTGACTGGTGGGCAGGAAGGCCGGCAGTCGTGGAAATGGGGAAGGGTTAAATGCTGCAAAACAGTGGGGGGGAGGAAGTCAGGCAGGCACATTTCTCCCTCCACACCCAGGTTCTGTTGGCTTCGCCTGGCACGTGTCAGTAAAACAAACGTGGGCCTCGATTCTCACCTGCTGCTGCAGGATGAGTCCTCCAGGAGGCAACATGAGGGCCGTGTGAGGTATCGCAAGCTTGCGGGGGGGAGGAGGAAAAGAAGATGGAAGAGAGTGAGGCCGCAAAAGAGAGAGAGAGAGAGAGAGAGAGAGAGAGAGAGAGAGAGAGAGAGAGAGAGAGAAGGGGAAAAAGGAGGGGCAGTTGTGATGTTGGTGCTCAGGGCCGTGACGCAAGTGGTCTCAAACCCTGCGGTCTCCCTTCCTGCTGAGGGAGTGGATGGCTCTGTCCTCTATCAGGCTAGTGCTTGTTGTGAAGTAAGAAGAGGGAGGGGAAGGGTGCTATGGATCCCGCTGACCTGCGTGCACGAGAAGAAGTCAATCCAGTTGCTGCACAATGAGTCCCTGGGGAGGGCGGGGCCTTGTTCTGCACCTGCGCTCTTCGTGCACCCTCTTGCAGGGCACGTTCAGTAGGGTTTGTGCTGGCTGCTGCCAAGCAGCATGTTTTCCACAAACAAGTGAGCTGGGAAGGAGCGGAGCGGGGGGGAGGAAAGCGATGCTGCAGGAGGGGAGGGAGGAGATGCCACGTACCACCAGTGGTAGGCATACCACCAGTTGAAAAGCCCTGCACTAGAGAGATAGAGCAAGAGAAGCCATGCAGATAATTTTGCTGACAGTTAAGATTCTGGACATAATTGCCCGTAATTTGCATCCTGAAAGCTCTTCTTTCTTGGACTATATAGGGCATACCCTTCTTCCTTAAAAAAGATTAAGAAATCTTAAACTTAGAGAGGGCTTGGGAAGGATTCCATGGATGAGAATCCTCAAGGGGAAAACAACTCAAGAAGCTTGGGAAATTTTGAAAAATGAGATAATAAAAGCACAGTCTAGCACAATACCAACAAAGAGGAAAAATAACAGCTCTCAAAAGAAACCAGCATGGCTGCATAAAGAACTCTCTGACAAATTGAAAGATAAAAAGGACAAGTATAGAAAGTGGAAAGAGGGGAACATAACTAAGTCAGAATATCAGCAAATAGCCTGAGCCTGCAAAGATGAAGTGAAGAAAGCCAAGGCTCAAAATGAACTAAGGCTTGCGACCAAAGTCAAAAATAACAAAAAAAGCTTCTTTCAACATGTAAAAAACAAGAAAAAAGTGAAGGAAATGATTGGTCCATTAGTGGGTGGAAGTGGCAAGAAGGTGACAAGCAACAGGGAGAAAGCAGAACTATTTAACTCATTTTTTGCATCTGTCTTTACACAAAGGGAAAAAACAGACCAACCTATCAAAAATAGTGCCATAAAAAACAAAACAGAAACACAAGTTAAGATAGGCAAGAAAATCGTTAGGGAGCACCTGTCCAGCCTAGATGAGTTCAAATCGCCAGGACCAGATGGATTACACCCCAGAGTTCTCAAGGAACTGGCAGATGTGATATCAGAGCCACTGAACTATATTTTTCAAAGATCCTGGAACACAGGGGAACTACCAGAGGACTGGAAAAGAGCTGATGTAGTTCCCATCCTTAAAAAAGGAAAAAAAATGGATCCAGGAAATTACAGACCTATCAGCCTGACCTCAATACCTGGGAAGATCCTGGAAAAGATAATCAAACAACGAATGAACGAACACCTAGAGGCAAACAAAGTCATTACTAAAAGCCAACATGGGTTTGTCAAAAATAGATCATGCCAGACAAATCTTATTGCATTCTTTGACCAAGTGACAAAATTAGTGGATCAGAGGAATGCTGTGGACATAATTTACTTGGACTTCAGTAAGGCATTTGATAAAGTAGATCACAACCTACTACTTGACAAGATAGAAAAATGTGGGGTAGACAGAATCACCACCAGATGGATCCAGAGCTGGCTGACTGGCCGTACTCAGCGAGTGGTCCTCAATGGAACTGCATCTATATGGAGGGAAGTGTGTAGTGGGGTGCCCCAGGGCTCTGTTCTGGGCCCAGTACTCTTCAACATCTTCATCAACGATTTGGATGAAGGGATAGATGGGGAACTCATCAAATTTGCAGACGACACCAAGCTGGCAGGAATAGCCAACACTCCAGAAGACAGGCTTAAGATACAGAAGGATCTGGACAGACTTGAACACTGGGCACTAACTAACAAAATGAAATTCAATGGTGAAAAAAGCAAGGTTCTACATTTAGGCAAGAAAAACCAAATGCACAAGTACAGCATAGGTGGCACCATGCTCAATAGTAGTAACTGTGAGAGGGACCTCGGAGTCCTAGTAGACAATCACTTAAATATGAGCCAGCAGTGTGCTGCAGCTGCCAAAAAGGCCAACACAGTGCTAGGCTGCATTAACAGAGGGATAGAATCAAGATCACGTGAAGTATTAATACCACTCTTCAATGCCTTGGTAAGGCCACACTTGGAATACTGCATCCAGTTTTGGTCACCACGATGTAAAAAAGATGTTGAGACTCTAGAAAGAGTACAGAGAAGAGCAACAAAGATGATTAGGGGACTGGAGGCTAAAACATATAAGGAACGGTTGCTAGAATTGGGTATGTCTAGTTTAACGAAGAGAAGGACAAGGGGGGACATGATAGCAGTATTCCAATATCTCAGGGGCTGCCATAAAGAAGAGGGAATTAAGCTATTTTCCAAAGCACCTGAAGGCAGGACAAGAAGCAACGGGTGGAAACTCATCAAGGAGAGAAGCAACCTAGAACTAAGGAGAAACTTCCTGACAGTGAGAACAATTAATCAGTGGAACAGCTTGCCTCCAGAAGCAGTAAATGCTCCAACACTGGAAGTTTTTAAAAAGAGACTGGACAGCCATTTGTCCGAAATGGTGTAGGGTTTCCTGCCCAAGCAGGGAGTTGGACTAGATGACCTCCAAGGTCCCTTCCAACTTTACTACTATTATTATTATTATTATTAATCTTTACATACCATACATATTAGAATTCCCTTTACCCAATTTCACTGATATGGTCAAGCCAAAAGGCAAGCCTTTTCTTCTAGGGAGCTATTAGGTTGGCAAGATATACCACTAGGATCAGGCCAGCTACAAACTCACAAATTTCCATGCATACTCACTCCATTGTTTTCTCTTATGAAGAAAAAAAAATGGATTTTTTTACAGTAATTTATAGATCTGTGGGCAAGGTTATAAAATTTATTCTTGCTACTTCAAGTAGCCTGAATAAATCTATTTGGGAAGACAAGATGACATTTCTTCCCTTTCAGAATCCTATTTATTAAAAGAGTTTCAGGTTATCTTTATCCACCATAATTATCTCCTTCCAAAATTTAAGTTTTTTAAAATATATTTTATTGCTTTTAAAATAACAGAAAAAAACCAAAGCAAAAAATAATGTTGATAAAATTACATATTCAAAGAAAAAAAGCACAGGTGCCTTAAAAAATGTCAAAAATACAATAGAAAAATTAAAAGGAAAGTATAATACAACAGTAAACAGTTTCAATTCTATATACACCTTATGCAAATATTATGCAAACATGTGTTTATGTGCATAACTAGCATGCTTTTTTCTCATCTAATGCATTTTGCATAATAAATGAGTTCCATATTTTATTACACCTGTCCATACAAAGTCTTCATATAGTACATAGACAATCAACTTATAAATGTCATATGTACAGGTCTTCGATCCATTGAGTGAATGAGGTCATATATTTATTATTATAATATAATGTATATTATATTATATATAATATAAATAGCAACATGAAATCACAGCTGCCAGTACTTTACTTGGTGTTGGTCTTTATTCACACTGAGCTTTTCCCAGGATCTAGGATGCCTGTATTGGTGTAGTATATATGAGTATGAGACTATGTAATTGACAGCTATTTTTATTTTATTTTGTAATTGACAATCAATTACTATTATTTTAGAAGGTTTTTTTGGAATAATAAACTTTTAATAAAATTTAAACAATTTAAAAATGTTAATAAAGCTCCTGACAAAGATTTGATTCAACCCAAATATTTAAAGCTACATCAGAAGTCTTTTCAATTAATTAATTCAATGAATAGAAAGGAACACATGATAAATATAATCAGCATAATGAAAAGGAAACGTGAATGATAGCTTTCTATAGAATTTTGAATGAAAATGTTAAATAATAAAAAAATAAATGTGAAGTAATACATGAATACTATTTCCTTCTAATGAGCAAATCCTTGCTGTTTAATATAGGCTGAAACAGAATTATATAGCACTTAGGGAAAAAAATACAGCCCAATAATCCAGCACTAGAAGCCAAGATGGAAAAGACCTCTACAGCCACCATGTATTTTCCTTTGGTGCTCAAGTAAGAGGGAATGAAAGAAAACCACACACTGCAAAACACCAACATGCTGAAGGTGATAAATTTGGCTTCATTGAAAATATCAGGCAGTTTCTTAGCAAAATATGCCACAGTGAAGCTAACAATGGCTAGAAAACTCAAGTAACCCAGAACACAATAAAACTTGATATCTGATCCTTCCTTGCACTCCACCACAATTTCTTCAGCCAAAGCATGAAAGTCAAAATTTAGGAAAGGAGGAAATATCCATAACCATAGAAAACAAATCCCAGCTTGAATCAGGGAGCAGCCAAGAAGAATAAAGTTGGCCAGTCTTTTTCCTACCCATTTTTTCAATTTGGATCCTGGCTTGGTGGCCATGAAAGCAAGAACCACAGTGACAGTTTTGGCCAATATGCAAGAAATAGCTACTGAAAAAATGATGGAAAAAGTGGTTTGTCGCAAATAGCAAGTCAGGGTCTGTGGTTTGCCAATGAACAAGAATGAGGAGTGAAAACACAGCAGGAGGGATATAAGGAGATAGTAGGTTAGATCCCGATTGTTGGCTTTGACAATGGGAGTGTTCCGATGTATTGTGAATATCCAAAGCACCCAAACTGTGATTACAGATAACATCAAAGTCAAAAAGATTAATGTGACCCCCAAGGGTTCAGTGAAAGAGAGGAAGTTAATTCTTTTAGGAAGGCATTGATCTTTGTTTTTGTTTGGATACTGATCTTCTGGGCATTGGAAACAATCATCTGTATCTGAAAGATAGGATATGTAATGTGTCCATATCTAGAGAAGAAACATTTTGCCCTATTATTGCCATGAAATATGTGCTTAAGTAGGCAACTTTAACCAATTTCGTTTTTTAAAAATTATCCTAAAAGTTTACGTAAAATACAGCATGTGGGCATCTCTGAATTGGATGTGAGCCCAAATTTCTCATAAGGTATTAGAAAAAGGAAATGTGAAATTAATTTTTGTCTCAGTCTTAACAAGACTGAATGGGTGCAAGTGTGTGGGCCACCCACATCTGGATAGATTCAGATAGGTGGCATGGGAGTCTTTGTGGATGAGCAGATGTGAGCTGTGGCCAGGAAAGGATTTGGACAAATTCATCTGGTATGACAATTGGCCTCTTTCCTAGACCGGTTCCCCTTAAGATGCTTACTTATGCCCTAGTGACCTGGTGGATGGAGTCTGCAAGATGATGTACATAGGACTGTTCTTGAAGACTACCTGGAAACTTCAATTGGTCCAAAATGAGGTGGTGTAAGCAGTATTGGAGATGCCAATATAACACTTCTGCTTCATGGGCTGCAGTAGCCATGGTACAATTTGAAGTGCAGTTTTTTATCTTATATAAAGCCCTACATAGCATATGGGGTTGATTATTTTATGGCCACCTTCTTACAAAACATCTGTCTGGCCAATTCAGTCTTGCAGCGTTGGCATACTCTGGGTTTCTTTAATTAAAAAATTCCAGGTTCTATTAGGACTCTGGAAGCAGCATCTACCCTCTGGAAATATAATTTCTCCTGAGATTCGATGGGCCCCACTCTGCTATGTTTAGAAGAGTCATGAAGTCCTGAAACTTCACTCAGGCCTTAAATGAAGGCAAGTACAGTCCACCACTTTATTACATTTGGCATTTTTATTCTTTATGTTTTATTAATTTGATTTTAATTTGTTTGTTTTCAGCCACTTGGAGTCATTGAAACTTCTCTAAATGATTAAATAATTATACTGTTACTAACCAAAAAAATAGTAAGCTATTCTTAAGTATATATAATTTATGTTGTATTAATTTAACTGAGTGAACTTCTGTGATTTAATCTATAATTCATCTTTGACAGAAAGAAAAGGAGTGGAGGGAGGGAGAGAGGGAGAGACAAAGGAAGAAAGGAAGGAAGGAAGGAAGGAAGGAAGGAAGGAAAGGAAAGAAGGAAGGAAGGAAAAGAAGGGTCCTTTTAGTGCAAACTCTTCCTCACATGCAAGCAGTTTTTTTCCTTTTTCAAATTCCCCAAAACAAACTTGTTTATTTGAAAAAATGATTTGAAGGATTTTTCAAACAATTACTTTTGCACACTACAAGGCATAATTAGTTCTTTTTCTCCATTTTATATATGAAATTACACACCAAAATACTCATACCCCAAATACCTTCAAGATCAAGTTGTAAGTATCATGTCTCGCATCTGATTTGCTTTCTTTTTTTTAACTAGTGCACAACCCAGACCATAATGAGTTAACTATCCACATCCACTTTCACATAATAAAACACATGCTATATACTGAATGAAAGCTATTGGAATTATATCTAATCCTACCCATTTGATCTGAAATCTTTCCATCTTCACATGGAACACAATCATAGCAGCAAAATGGCTTCCCCTCTTTTTTTCTTCTCCTATAACCCTGATGGCAGTTATCATTGCAGAGGGAAAGTGGTTGCACCTGCCCACAAAAGAAAGAATTTAGATAACAACTCCTATTGGATAAGCACTACATCATTAACTCTGCAATTTTTCCTAATGTCATCTGAGGTCATGCCTGAATATCAGATAGGTGTACTTCCCTGAAATCCAGCATAATTAAAATAAATATAATAAATAATATATAAGTAAAATAAAATAAAAACAAGTGATATTGGCTTGTAGTTTCTAAAGCCAGAAGACCTGGCTTTACCAGTAAGCTTGGAGCCTAATGGGGGAATTTCATATGGAGGTAGCTAGTTGACTAATAGCAGTTTCCACCCACCCCATATATTCTTCTTTCTTGTCCCCATTTTTAGATATATTTGGCATTTTATAGTAATTTTTATATACTTATTCATATATTTATGGTTTTCATTTTAATGTTGTAAGCTGTCCAGAGTCACTTTGAGGTGAGTTGGGTGGCAAAAAAAAAAGAAGCATTTTAAAAGGAACAAAATGGACATGAACAAATGAAAATATATGGGCAAATAAAAAGGGAATTTAAGATCTGGAGTCTTTTCAAAACAGACAACTTTTCAAACTATCATCTGAGAATAAAATTCTTTTCATGTGATGTGTTTTAGAGTTGGTGAAGTAAACAGATTGAGAAGCTTAGTGTCAGTGATAATAAATCATTTTGAGGTGCTATTGATTGAAATTATTGAAAGAAGATAAAGCAAGATTGTCAAAGGCCACTGTAAGAGAATTTCTTAGCTAACTTTATATTTCTGAAGTCAAACTGCATCATACCTGATTAAATGAACTATGCCATGTGATGGTATCTGTTTTAATGATGAGTTCTTTATCCTGGGGATCCATCTTTCCTACTCTCACTCTTGCAAAGGATTGGTTTGGGAAAATAACCCAGTTTAGAATATCATATCCAGCTGTTAATTCACCATTTTCATTGAAAGATACAATATCCCCAGCACTGTTATTAAAAGTGATGCTCCTCAGGAAGGGGTGAATCTACAGAGTTGAAGGCATTTTGCTCAAATCACTGTTTCCACTACATTATTCTTCCTTTTATCTCTGCTTAGGGATTCATTCATACAAGTTTAACACTTATAGTTTTGCAGATTTATAATGTACTGAAATCCTTGCCTGGGAAGGCAGAGGTAGCTGAACATATGGTCAAAACTGTAATATCCACCATTAGTCAAGAAGCGGAATATTATTTTTACACTGGCATCTGCTATTGTAGTCTGATGTTTAGGCTCCTAAACATATATAGGCTAAGTCTAACATAAAATATATTTTTTACCAAAGTTCTTTCATGGTGCCTTTTGAATATAAATTACTTGGAGAAGCTGAAACTCTTCATCTAACAGTAGGGATAGTCCTATTCAAAAGGATCAGATCTAGAATCCATTTTTTAAAAAGGAAAATGGATAGTCTATATTATGTTGTTTCTTTTTTTACAAAGTTAAATTAAGGGATAGATTCAATGGAGATCCAATCAACAAACTATTCAAGATTAATAGAGCAAACAGAAATTGCAAAAAGAGATATTTTTTTCATCTTGTGAAATTTCCACCATTTTTTCCACCTCTTCAAATCTTTCCTCCAATAAATCCACTTTGTCTGTTACTTCTTCAACACGAGAATCCAACTTTTCAACAAGAGAAGCAAGTCCTTTTAAAGCCAATACTATATCTTGCCTCAAGATGTTATTTCTCTCTACTAAAAGCTCCTTCACTTCTCCTCTAATTTGGCATACAACATTTCCCATAACATCTTGGAGATCTTTTACTGTGAGTGGTGGTACAGGCGGAGAAGGTGGTGGTGATCTAGATTTAGCTTGGTGCACTGGTAATATTGCCGGAGAGGAAGCCACCTTAGGCACTGTAGAAATCACTTGACGCTTTGAAGCCATTTTAAAAAGTTTTCCTCCTTCCTCTTGAAAAAAAAAATCCAAAAGAACCCAAAAGAAATAAAAAAATGAGCAAAAAAGGGGGGGAATACCTCACCCAAAGTCCCCTTTAAAAGAAAAAAAAAGAAATCCAAAACCATTGTAACAAGAAAAAAGGATAAAAAAGTAATAAAGTTTCAAAAGCCCGTTCAATTTCCTCCCATACGCTCAGAAAAAAATCTCTCATCGCCATTTTACTTTCCCTTTCAGCGAAAAGAAAAGAAAAAGAAAAAAAGAAATAGTTCTTTAGAGTTAAAGTCCAAGTAAAACCCCAAAAATAAAATCCACTGATCAGCTCTGTCTGCTTTTTAAACAACTCACCAGTTTACTTTAAGCGCGGATGGGGGAACGGCGTCTTGCTTTGTCCCGAACAACAAGGGACAAAGGCATCTGAGAAGCGGAGACACCCCAAACTCCGTGGGAGCACTCTTTACACCCCCAAAAAACACTTTGGGGGTTTCAGAGGCTCTACCACTATTCAGGGTGAAAAACTCCCCTCTTTCCTTTAGCCTAGGAAAGAGGTTTTAAACCGCGGAACAGCTGTTGTCTGCTGTCCTCAGCGGTTTTAATGCTGTCTCAGACGGATGGCTAAAAAATAGCCGCCATCGACAACGCAGCGCCACCAGAAGCTCGCAAAAAGAGATTGATATGTCTTAGTATGGAAATATATTAGCATTTGCCTTTGGTAATGAATATACTAAAATATGTCATGCAAGTTTGTAATAAATACTGGAGATGAAAAAAAAAATACATTACCTGCCAAGGTTTCAGATTCAGAAAAGTCAGACGACATCTATTAAATACAGCTCTTGTTTCTGGCTTGGGTTTGTAAATCTCATGCAAAGCATATGCTAAGAGATAAACAGCGTTGTAAATTCTGTAGCTCTGAGATGTCATGCTCATTTCAAAAAGAACCCCTGGCAAATGGCCCAGTTTCTCTTCCCCGGTGCATTCTTTTCCATTATCACCAGAAAGTGAACAGCCAAATGCCTGTTGCCAGAATATCGGGATAAATTTATCATTATTATCTGAATGAGGATGTAATCCCTGCAGAAAATGAGTGAATCCCAGCAGTTCCTTGGAGTGAATTGCAAAAGATAAAGCACCATGGAAGAACATCATATCAAAACTTTTCTGCAAAATGTCTGATGAGAAATCCCAATGGGCTGTCATAATCCAGATTTTATTTACTGATTTAGTTTTATTGCCTTCCAATAAGTCATACATATAAATCAACCATTTAATACATGTTATAGTTCTATGGTTTGCATGTAGAACAAATACATTAACTTCAGATGAAGTTAATAACATGGATTCAGGTGAGGTGTGCATCAATAACTCATAGTAATTTAAATAATGAGATAATGTTGGTATTTTTGCAATAATGGCTGGGCAGATGCCATGGTGAGCGAGCAATGGAGTTAAGGTCTGCACAAACCTTTCTCCATCATCATTATCAGTTGCAATGATCCCAACCCACGTCCAGTGGAAGTGCAAAAGAAGTTGTACAATTCCTGAATATTGAACTGCATCACTTGGCATAATTCGATACAAGAAAGGGAGAAATTTGCTAGCATTCATCACTGGAGCAAATACAGAATAGGCAATCTTCCAAAAAAAAAAAAAAGATAAACATGAATTTTCTCAAATATTAGTCATGACTTTATTTCTTTTTTTGGCAATTATTGTAACATGATTAGCCACTCCACTGAATAAACCATTTAGAATAAACTCTGAAAATCCATCTTCTTTGAGTGGAGATATTCAAGATATTTCAAAGGCTGTCCATTTTTGAAAGACTTTTTTAGTATTCTCATGAGCTACCCAATCTTTGCTCTATGGCAAAAATATATCATATGGTAAAATAATCAAATATCTTCAATCCCTTTATATTTAAGGACATTGCACAGAAGACATCTGTTTTTGATACAAGCATACCTTTCTCCCATGAAAGTATTGAGGCACTAACATTTGGGAGAACAATAGAAAAGTGACAACTAGAGGATGCAATGCTGCATGTGGTCCTCAAGACCAGCTAGGAAAATGTCATGTTTACTGTTTCAGAATGGAAAATTATTGAAACCTATAAGGACATCATCACAATGATTGTATTTATCATATTTGATTTAAATGTAAATTATATATGTTTGATTTTTAGTTTTATTTCGGCTTTTCTAAGAATGCATACTCTGTCAAATCATTAAATTGAAGCAGCTGATCTAAAAATTGTCTTCTACAAATAAAAAGATAGAATGTGGAAAAGCTTCATGAAGCAGTCATTGTGTCTACCTGAGGAATTTATGGAGTCCTGTGAGGGTAGCCATGTAGAAGGAGGTGGAAGAGTCTAATCCCCCAACCAAGGCCATCATTTTTTTTGCCTCCTCACAGATATAATTAGGAATGGTCCTTTTCCAAGTGGAAAGAAGCTTCAAAGTATTGTAATAAGTCATCCTTGCACTGGAATAAGTGTCATATATGTAGAATCCCAGGGTAACATTTGATAAGATTTGGGAATTCTCATTGATCTCCTTCACTGCAAATGCCATGGTCAGGACATGCTGGTAATTCTTCAGCTTCAAACTGAAAGCAGAATTACGTTATGAAAAAAATACAGTCATTGCTTATGGAACCATTTGTTTGGTGTTATGTCAATTTATATAGAAACAATTTATGTTATTGCCAAAAGCAGTCTTAGTTCATATAGCTAAGTAAAGACTGACATCTGAATTTTAGCAAGATTAGAGGGCAACCTATATGGATAAGTTATTCATAAGTTCTTCCTTATTTATAAAAAATGTCAATGTATATGCCTCTCCTCTCCAAAAATCCTTAAAAAATGTTTTTAACCTTGAATATAGAGAAATAACTGGAAATCTCTTTTTTTCCTAATGTATGTCTACTGTTGTATAAAATTGTGTATAATTAGTAATCCACATTATTGAAGCTCTACAACTCATTTTTTCTAATATATAAATACATAAAGATTGTAATTATATTTGTATTGTCTTCCCACCCTATATATTACACATTTGCTTCACAGGTTGTTACTGAATGTCCTGAGAAATAAGATACATAACATAAATGGCTCAGTATGCTCTGAATGATACTAGGTTTTCTTTTCCTGTCAATGTAAAGTGCACATTTATTCTCATATATTGTTTTTTGGAGATTCATATACATTTTGAAATAGGAAATGTGTTAAATTTTCAGATGCCAAAAAAATCCCTCTGTATTCATTTCAGTAATATCACCTGAGAATTTCAGATTAGCTTTGCAGAGAAATCTACAGTATAAGCAAGATAAAGAATAAAATAGATTAAAAGGAATGCTGGGTGAGATGAAGGGAAAAAAATAGAGTATAAATCTATGAGAAAATGAACAACAATAACAAAGGGTAGAATAGTCAAGAGCCAGGGTAATAGCAGGTGAAACTTGAAACTTATGATGAAAAATGAGATTGCTTAACAGGACAAGATAGAAAGAAATATATGGGAAATAAAGGAAAAGTATATGGTATCAAAATTAAGATTAACAATAAGTTTGATATAGTTAAACTTCATTGATCCAGCTCATAATATAGAACAAGACTGATGTAGTTTGCTGAATGTTCCATTGAAAGCTGTAAAAATATTCAATTTTTTTCTATTTGTGTTTTCAACTTTAAAAAAGAAAAAAGTATCCATACACAAGGTCGCATAAAGGTTTCATTTTGAAACTTTCATTGAAAGATGATGTCTCAAATACACAGTTATACTGAGTTGTAAATGCTCCTATGATTAAGTCCCCCATCTGACAATATTCATTCAGTATCTGGATGGGCTCAATAATCACACATATAGCATTCAGAGTTTTGCATTCAGCTGAATGCTGCTGCAACCACAGTATGAGCAGAAGCAACAGAAATATTTTTGCCATTCCATCAAAAAGTAGTTCAGATTTCATACATCAATAGTGCCAACCATCATTAGCTTGGATATACCACATTGTCTTAAATGGCTTCAGGTACTTTTCATAAGGATCTGACAGCTTCAGATTGGAACTACAAAGAGATACAGTAGTTAATGTAAGCTTCCAGAAAGTGTTAGTATCGTATGAGTTTGCCAAGATGGAGATAATTGCTAGGTTATAACTTAAGACACTCTGTGTTACACAAGGGAAAAAGAAACATAGTTGTTCAATCTCTCTCTAACTTGAGACATCAGTGGCAAGTGTAAACAATAGGAGCTAGGTAGAAATAAGCACCATTTTTGTGCTTATGTCAGGATGAAGTGGGCTTCTATAATAGGTAGGACCAGTCACTAAAATGGTCCCTTTCTTAGCAGACCTGAACATATCTTAAATGACCTAATAATTGAATCAGGAGTGATAAACATAGGAGTTGTAGTAATATTTTTCAGTCAAGTTTGAGTTCCTATCCCTATTTCAGAGCCTTAAACTATTGTGCTCTCCTTCTTGGAATATAGTATATTTAAAAAGAACATTTGTAACTCAGGAATGAAATGAAGGGTCTTTGTTGCTCTCTGAGCTTGGTTGCTTTCTCATAAATGAGAAGTATGTACATTGTAAGAGTTAACCTCACAGACTGAGAAATTCCCTTGTACTGATTCCAGAGATCTCTTTTAGATAAAATAATTTACTTTTAAAAATGGAGAGATCATGGACCAGAAATGAACTAATGGAAGCTCTAATGTCTGTCAGACATGGTTGCCCATTCAGAATTTAATTTAATGACGATGAAGAAAATCATCCCAATTTATTTTCTTCCAAAGAAAGAAATGAAGATCTGAAAGTAGCTTCTCAAATATAAAGCTATTTTTTTTAAATGACATTAGTTCATGATGCATTAACTAATTGAAAGTGGCTGGAAGCAAAGACAAAGAACAGACTAAAAACTCATGTTCATAATAAAGAGAATCTGTTTGACTATTCCTGTGATGTGGCAACCATTTTAGAGATCATATATATATATATAAGAATAATTAAAAATGATACTGCAGAATTTAGTGGTGTTGAGAGGAATTGGAGGAAATGATTGGGGGGGGGGAAGTTTAGCAACAGGACTATAAAGTGATAATCCTTTAACCATTTTCATAACTATAATGTCATTAGGAATTTTCTGTTAATTAGTTTTCTCTCTCTTTGAAATGTGAGAAGTTGTCTGCTAAGTAGCAAAGTCCATTTGACTTCACATATTGCACAAAATCAATATATAATTCTGAATTATTCTGAATTGAGTATAGAATGGGTGAGCAAAAATGATTAGTGGAATGGAGGCTAAAACATATGATGAACGATTGCAGAAACTGGGCATGTATAAGGAGCAGGGAATAACATAAAAGCAGTCTTCCAATATTTCCAATATATTCTAGAATTCTAGAAATGACCACCTGTCTGCAAGGAATATAAATCCTTCCCTTCCCCACCATCCAGTCAGCGTGTCAGATCCCCAAAGAAATATATTACTATTGTTTCTAACCTATACATACTTCTGTAACCATTTTGGGGGGGCTTGCGATTCTGTTGGGAGGGGGGATTCTATTGCGTAGATATTCAATATGCTTTGCTTTGCACAGGCAACACTGCCCTTCCCCCACTTATCTGGAAGACAATTTGCACTTGGAGCCGGAGAGAAACGAAACCGAGAGAGAACTTGAAGGAACAAGTTACCAAGACAATATACCACATGTGGATTGGCCAAGAGTCAAACAGACAGTGAGAACCTGGGAGGAGGAGTAATGAATATTGTTTTTGATATATTGCTTGCACAGGCTATTTCCTCAGACTTCACTTTGCTTCCTTGCCATCACTAACTCTCAATAAAAAGTTGCTTTTGAGACAATACCTGTTTCAAGAGTTCTGCTTTCTTGGAAGACCTAGTTGAGGCAAATCCTTACACAGAGCTGAAGAAGCTTCATGGATAACAAGCAAAATATCTTCAAAGAAAAAACAAGAAAGTCCAGTTGTCTCCTGAAAAAACACCTTTGAGACAACCATAACCAGGATGACTGAGAATCTCTATAGACATGTTGTCCCAATGAATCCAGTAGAATGGAAGATGACTTCCTGTTGAATTAGTAATTTAATTAAAAACATTAATAGGGAAAAAGCAAGCACTGATTTAAAAGCATCCCTTTATAATAGGAGAAAGTAATAATCTATTCCACAGAATTCATTGTGTCCAAAGATGTTTTTCCAAAGATCTCTGGTTATTTGGAAAGATATAGAGGAATTTGTTAAGATTGTATTTTAAGTTTGGTGTAGGGCCAGTTTGGTGTAGTTGTCAAGATTCAAAGCTAGCTAGTGATCTTGGGCCAATTATCCTTTCTCAGCCCTAATTACAGGACCTACAGGACCTTTTCATGCAGTCATCAGAATCAATACTGATTCAAATGTGCGCACATGCAATATGCAAACACATGCACACACAAAATAGAAATAAAATATATGACACCTAAATCCTTATTTGTGTTTTTCAAAGCAGAATAGTCCAGTTTGAAAAGATCTTCTGTAATTGTGATTTCAAATTCTTGCTGTTATTTTTTTTTTCATATAATACAGTTTCACTCTATCTTGAAAAGCCTCATATTCAACAACAGTATGGGAGATACTGTCAGTTTTGATGAAAAAAGTGACTTGATTACAGACTTCTATGTTGTAAACTGGATTATTTTGCTCAATAATTCCTTTTCTTGAGTCAAGATTGGAACACTGGAAACTTGGAATCCACTGGGCAGAGAATTAACTCTTAATGACAATCAAATTATATGGCACAGGAGCTTTAACCAGGTGAGAAGAAACTGCAGATTCTCAAATAACAACAAAAGTAAAGCATTTTTTGCAGCAATTGTCAAATGCATGACAGTAATAGAAGAAAGGATATTTTTGTATTTTGGAGCTTTTTAAGATGATGAGTTATTATGTTTTCTATATGTACATTTGAGCACTGATATGTCCATGACATATTTTAAGAGAAATGCCTCCAATTTTGCATGGGAAACAAAGATTGTCAAATTAGGTACAGATAGTCATTGACTTTTGATTAGTCATTTTATTTTATTTTATTGAAAGATAAAACAGATTGAAAAAAAGTTACTTGTGACCCATCCTCAAAATTACAACTGCTGCCTCCGCTGCAGTCACATGATCAGGCAGTTCATTTTTACAATCAGTTGCAATGATCAAAAGTCACATGACCATGATTTGCAGCATTTTGTTTATTAATTACACATTTGGCACAATTCATTTACTTATTGACCACGTGAGTTAATTATGAACCATGTCATTTGTTTTCAACTGATGGTGACTCATGTTACAGCCATCATAAAACTAGTAGTAAAATGAAATCTGGTCACATGGTGCTATGACCTATGATCCCAGTGACTGGTCATAAATCAACAACAACCTGTAGTGCCCTAATCTTGCTACTTACTGGAATATTCTGGCCCAAACAGAATCTTGACATTTATGTTTGCATCTTCTCATATTTAGAAATAGCATTAGAAGCAATTAAAAAAAATCAGATCCTGTGAAAACAAAACTTTTTTTGCCAATTCCTCCCCATTAATTGAAGTTTTCCATTTTTCATTTTCTTCTTCTTCTACATCACAGGTGTGGGTTTCTTGTTTGGGAAAGCTCTATTAATGCAGGTATTTTATAATTTATTCCTCATATATATTTCTGTTAAGGTCTGCCTGTCCCTCTTTGAAATGATCACTGTGATCTAGGCTCCAGCAAAAAGAAGAAGGAAGGAGAGAAATTTTGCTGCTATGATTGTGCACCATGTCCAGAAGGGCAGGTTTCTGAGAAATAGGTAAAGACAAAAAGAGGTTAGGACTTTGGCTAACTGATCAGCAAAAATCCAGTTTAAGACTCTTATTTCTTTAAGTACAACAATACAAACAACAACAAACAAAACAAAAAATAACAAGGGTATTCAAAGGCAACATTAAGTTTTAAATGAATTCAGTAAACTGGGTCATATGTGTATTTTTCTAATGTTGAAAGACTAGTCTCTAAGCAAAACATATAGAATGGGGAAGTTATTTCAACTGTTCAGCTATTACTTTCCATGTAATGAATATGTAGTTCCAAAAGATATCTGCAACTGAAAATATAAAATTCTATGTCAAGCTCACGCTAATATATAGTTTATGACAAAAAAATAACTTTCAGTGAAGCATTGCTATTGTTACATCTCCAGAAACATGATAATTGTTCTGTTTTCAATGTAAAGGCATTGAGACGAGGCAGGAGTAACAACAGTCTTCTTTTTATTCAGATCACAACAAAACCAATACAAAATGCTGCGGGTTCCTCTTATACCCCTTTGCAGGGACAGTGTCATACAATTAATGCAACGGATTCTTCTGTCTTGTGCATGTGCAATAGGCTGGAGACAGTCTGTCTGGTCCTGGGCATCCACGTGGTCTGCCCGGGCCTCTTTGCAGTTTCCTGCACCTGCTGAGTCACTCAGCAGGCCTGGGACATAACACCCCTCTCCTTTTATTTCAAACATAGTACTTAATATTTTACAATACTGCAAATCTAATACCTTGTCAATCCTTCACCCATAACACAGTAACAGTTACTATTTTCCATTACTATAAATCAACATTTGTTCTTTTCAGTACATTCTTATTACTAAGCACCCTTAAGCCTGCCCACCTACTGACAGGAGTCTTACATAATCCTGTAAGTGCTTGGGTGGACCTCTGACTCGCTCTGACCTTCTTGGAGCAGTTGTGACTGCCTGGCCTGCAAGCTCACCTGCCAGGCTCAGCAGACCAGAACATTGATGCCTCCTAGATTCAAGCGACCCTCCATCATGCTGATTGGCTGGATCCTGTAAACACAGACCAGAGTTCCTTGATGGGGTGGAATTCCCCAAGTCCACAATGGACCCCTCTTGGGAGAACTTTCCTGTGAGCACAAGACCAGCAGATGGAGTGGCCTGAAAAAACGGTTGCAAGCAATGTCTCATGGACCCAGTGTCTGTGCCAGAGTCAGGAGCCGCCCCATTGGCAAAACCCCATACTGGTACCTGTGAAGTTCCACTTTCACAGAGAGACTGTGGTCCACGATCGTAATCATGCTCTTCCTCCCCTCCGAGAGCAGAGTCAGGAGCGGAAGGGTGGCTGGGA